CCACAGGGGCCCGGCTGCTCTTCCGAGTGCGGGCACACAATATGGCGGGGTCTGGAGCCCCTGTTACCACGACGGAGCCGGTGACAGTGCAGGAGATCCTGCGTGAGTGCCCTTTCGTGCAGTCGTAAGACCTGCCACTGACACCCCAAGCCCTTGGTGTCCAGTGGAGGTGGGGACAGGCAGGGAGGCCCCACCAGAATGTTGGGCAGGGACAGGAGGGGTTGGAGCCATCGTCCATGCACTAGGCTCAGGAAGAAAGTACAGAGAGGGTGGCTGGGCATACTGGCTCACGCCTGTAATCCCAGCACTTTGGGAGGCCAAGGTGGGCGGATCACTTGAGGTCAGGTGTTCGAGACGAGACTGCCTAACATGGCGGAACACCCAGCACCAGCTGGGTAAGGTGGTGCATGCCTGCAATCCCAGCTACTTGGGAGGCTGAGGCAGGAGAATCACTTGGACCAGGTGTCGGAGGTTACAGTGAGCCGAGATCACACCACTGCACTCCAGCCTGGACGACAGAGTGAAACTCCGTCTCAAAAAAATCCCCAAAAAACAAAAAAAGGTGCAGAGAGGGCTTTCTTGGCCTATGTCAGGCCTCTAGTTCTGGAACAGGGAAAATAAAGGCCACAGTACCCAAGCTCTCTTCTAGGAGTCTCAGCTCCAAGAGGTTAAGTATTGTCTGTCTTGTGAGACTGGTCCCTCTGTGGTCCACTTCCCATTCCTCTGTTCCTTGTCCCAATAAAGGGTCCATCTTTTGTGAAGATTGGTTCTCAAAGCTGGAATGAGGCCGCAAACTAGGGTGGAAACAGCACAGGGCAGAGGATGTAAAAGCCCAGGTTTACGCCTTGGCCTGTGACTTACTAGCTGTGTGACTTCAGTCAAGTTGCTTACCCTCTCTGATCCCTGCCTCTTGAAGCAATGTGGTGAGGCTCAGGGGGAAGCCAGCTGGGCCTGGGCAGGCTGGAGTTGCTGTGTCCTCAGGAGCTAAAGGAGGCACAGGGCCCAGCAGGCAGCTTTTTTTCTTAGCTGCAGCCCTCTGGGCTTTGTCTCAAGGGAGGATGGAGCCATGGAGCCCCTCAGGGCTGCGGCGGGCCCTCACTTGGCTCCCTACTCTGCACCCACAGAACGGCCACGGCTCCAGCTACCCAGGCACCTGCGCCAGACTGTTCAGAAGAAGGTCGGGGAGGCTGTGAACCTCCTCATCCCTTTTCAGGTGGGACCGACCCCCTTCCCTGTCCCCCAGGGGAGAGGCTACGGTGTGCCGTTCCCAGCCAGCGGACTGATGGCTCAGGGCTGGCCCGATCAGGTTTAAGCTTTTCCTCCCCTCAGGGCAAGCCCCGGCCTCAGGTGACCTGGACCAAAGAGGGGCAGTCCCTGGCAGGCGAGGAGGTGAGTGTCCGCAACAGCCCCACGGACACCATCCTGTTCATCCGGGCTGCTCGCCGCGTGCATTCAGGCACTTACCAGGTGACAGTACGCATCGAGAACATGGAGGACAAGGCCACGCTGGTGCTGCAGGTCGTCGGTGCGTGCCAGGGCCTCCCTGAGCCCCTCGTTTCCCATCCCTGAGCCGGGCTGCCGGGGTCAAGGGCCGAGCCAGGCGACCCAACCCACAGCTCACATTTTCCAGTCCAGTGCCCAGGAGGCCCGGGCCTGGCTGGCAGGGGTAGGGGGTCCCTGGAACCCAGCGTCACCCTGCTTGCTGTCAGGAGGTATGGTGACCCGACTGGGTCTATCTCTCGCAGACAAGCCAAGTCCTCCCCAGGACCTCCGGGTCACTGAGGCCTGGGGTCTTAATGTGGCTCTGGAGTGGAAGCCACCCCAGGATGATGGCAACACGGAGCTCTGGGGCTACACGGTGCAGAAAGCCGACAAGAAGACCATGGTGAGCCTGGGGTCCCCATGTGCACCCTGCCTAGGCCTGGCAGACCCAGGCCCCAGCTACCCTTCGCTGTCCTCACCATGGACTTCTCACCCTCCCTCTACTGCCCTGAGTCCCTCCACGGTAGGGGTGGAGATGCCAGGGGCACCCAGGAGAGGCTCTCGGGTGTCAGGGAGAGCCTGGCTGAGATGCCTCCCCTCCTTCCCTGCCCCAGGAGTGGTTCACGGTCTTGGAGCATTACCGCCGCACCCACTGTGTGGTGCCAGAGCTCATCATCGGCAATGGCTACTACTTCCGCGTCTTTAGCCAGAATATGGTTGGTTCCAGTGACAGAGCGGCCACCACCAAGGAGCCTGTCTTTATCCCCAGACCAGGTGCGGTCTCCTCATTCCCTGCACCAGGGGCTGGGGCAGGGAGGCTGTGGGGACAGGGAGGGGGGCCTAGCTTGGTGTAGCCGTCTCGGTACCAAGTCCTATTACCAACAGGCATCACCTATGAGCCACCCAACTACAAGGCCCTGGACTTCTCCGAGGCCCCAAGCTTCACGCAGCCCCTGGTGAACCGCTCGGTCATTGCGGGCTACACCACTATGCTCTGCTGCGCTGTCCGGGGTAGCCCCAAGGTAGGGAACTTCAGGCTCTGCTCCAGGCTGGCTCACAGGCCTCAATGTCGAGCAGTTCTCTCCCCAGCCGGTCTCCCTTGCCTTCTCTCCACCTTGGGGTGTATGGGCCGGCCTCCTCATGAGCAGGGCCATGGTACTCACTGTTGGTTCTGTGTTCATTTCCAGCCTTGGGCAGGGTCAGGGACTCCAGTGGGAAACTCTCAAGTAGGGGCCCAGGGAAACACAAAGGCGTGCCCCAGGTCCCTGCCAGGTCCCCTCTCGGCCCGGATGGCTTCCCTCCCTCTCTTTACCTTATTTGCAGCCCAAGATTTCCTGGTTCAAGAATGGCCTGGACCTGGGAGAAGATGCCCGCTTCCGCATGTTCAGCAAGCAGGGAGTGCTGACCCTGGAGATTAGAAAGCCCTGCCCCTTTGATGGAGGCATCTATGTCTGCAGGGCTGCCAACTTACAGGGCGAGGCACAGTGTGAGTGCCGCCTGGAGGTGCGAGGTGAGGAGCCCCCGGGGCCGGGGCTGGGAGGTGGGAAGAGCGGGGCAGCGGCAGGGACCCTGGCTTTTGCTTTGTTGTCTTGGGCCAAGCAGCTGCTCTGGCTGCACAGGCACGGACCCTGTCACGTCCAGAGGGGTACTAGCTTCCAGAAGGCTAGGACACAATGACATAGCCTCCTTCTCTTCTGCAGTGCCTCAGTGACCAGGCTGGCTCCGGGGATGGCCAGGTACGTAGTCCAGACCACCTGACACCCAGCAGCTGAGCCCTGGCCCTTGGTCCCGAGGCAGCCATCAGGAAATGGGAGGCTGTAGGGAACTCCGTTCACTCAAGAGAACCTGTGTCCTAGGTACAACTGATGCCAGCCCCATGCCAGGAGCCTGGAGGGAAGTTGGGGAAACCCCTCTCTGCTGTTGGATGCGTATGTGACAAGTGTGTCTCCTGGGCTGCAGTGGGGGATCAGCAGGCCAGTTATGTTGGGTGGGCCCGGGTAGGTGTTGCAGACTGGTCCACAGGGCTCCTGACGGAAGCTCCTGGATCTCTGGAGTGAAATGGGGGTGGCCTCAAGAAACGGTGTCTGGGGACATATCTTTCTGGCCTGCCATGTCTTCCCAATGTATACCGGGCAATAAAAGATTAGTGGTCACAGAGAACTCACTCTTCTTACTCAATTTCAGTGTGCCCATTTTCATAAAAATACACAGGGCTGGCCAGGCACGGTGGCTCACACCTGTAATCCCAGAACTTTGGGAGGCTGAGGTGGGCAGATCACCTGAGGTCAGGAGTTCAAGACCAGCCTGGTCAACATGGTGGAACCCCATCTCCACTAAAAATGCAAAAGTTAGCCAGTCATCGTGGTGCACGCCTGTAATCCCAGCTACGCAGGAGGCTGAGGCAGAATTTCTTGAACCTGGGTGGCAGAGGTTGCAGTGGGCCGAGATCGTGCCACTACACTCCAGCCTGGGTGACAGAGACCCTGTCTTAAAAAGAAGAAGAAAAAAAAAAAAAAAAAAAAAAAAAAAAAAAAAAGCATGGGGACACTGATCTTCACAGCAAAGTGAGGGCAGATACTGTTTTTATTTTCTTCTGGATGATTAAATTAGGCCCAGAGTGGAATCTGAGTTCATAAAACATTAGCACTAGAAGGAACCTGCCTCCCCCGATGGCACTGACTCAGATGATGAAACTGAGCTGTGACAGCAGAAAGCGCATGAGTCAGACCCAGGTGCTCAGCATGACCTTTGTGCCAGGGGCCGTGGTGTGGTCGAAGCCTCCTGGAGGTGGGTAAGGCAGACTCTCAAGTGTTGTGACTGTCCCGGGATGGAGCTGCACTAGGTGGCTCTGGGGTCTCAGCAAGGAACAAGCCCACAGCTGGTGTGCACCCACATCCCAGTGGGGGACAGCAATCCAATCCAGCCCAGGACCGTGGGTGTCAGGGCCTGAACCCCACTCTGCTCTCACCTCCCCCATGGGGAGCCTAATTCCGAGCATCAGTTTCCTTTTGGGCGGGGGAAGCCAGCAGGTCTCAGAAGTTCCCCGAGAATGCAGCCAGGTTTTTCCAGGGCAGAAATTCCATGAAGGCAGCTCCTAGGGGTGCTTCTAGGAGTTCTACCCAGTGGAAGACACTCCTGGCCAGGTGTCCCGGGCCCTGGCTGAGTCACCACACCTCTCTGGGCCATACCTACCTGTTAGGGCGTGGAAAGGCCAGGGCCCGGCTTTTCACCTGATCTCAGTTCAGGTGTGGACTCCCAGTCTGGCTGCTCCTCCAGTTCGTGGCAGCCCAACTCTCTGCAGTGCCCCCAGGTGCCCAGGAATGAAAGCGCCACCCACAGCCTTGCTCTGGGAGAACAGCAGAGCTGGGGCCTCCATGTGCCAAAGCCTGGACATGGATGACCGCATCTCCTTCTTTCCTTCAAGCCTGAAGTGCCTTTTTAAGAGTCCAGGGACAGCCTTCCCCACACCTGAGCCAAGAGGAGGTGTCATTTAATATGAGGCAGCCAGGGAGCCCAAGGGGAGTCAAGGACATTTATTTCACATTCACACAGCTGTACATTTTCTATAAATAATGTGGGGCTGAAATATTTACAGGCATTTCTTGCCCACACCCAGGCCACCTCTCCCTCCTGGCACCCCATACCCGGAGACACAGCCTGAGGACACAGATGTGCAAACCCAGCTTGGTCTTTCCTGCCCCCTCCCCAATGCTCAGGCGGAGCAGCCAGCAGTCCCTGGGATGTCACGAGCCTCAACCACTGCGTCCTCTGATGCCAAAGGCACGGCAGGCCACAGGGAACTCGCTGCTCCACTGCAGGCAGGCAGCAGCTGCTGGGTTGGGAATGCAGAAGGAAGCAGGGAGGCTGCCATTCGCTCCGGCTGCCCCCCAGTCCTTCCCTTCCTGTCTGTCCTTCCTCTGAGAGGGTGAGCCCCATGGTTCCCTCACTCCTCACAGAATGGAAATGCTCCAGGCACCCTGTCGTGCCAGGTCACAGAGCATGGAGAGCTGGACTCTTGCGGTGGACAGTTACGCCGCCAGGGACAAGGACAAACCACCACAACACCAGTATCTCCAGGACACACACGCACGCGCACACACACACACTCACTCTTGAGCCCTGAGGGGAAGGCAGTTTGGTCTTCTGGGAGTGGAGAGGGAGAAGGTGGACACACTCAAAGACACACTCAGAAACACATAACTGGTAACCAACTAAGCCACAGCAGGGGGCTTGCAGAGGACACAGGAGCATCATCCACTCCTCGGTCACAGCAGCATCGTGCACTTGGGAACAGCAAGAGGCCAGGGGCGTGCCCTGGGCTGGGGCGGCTGGCTGTGTAGCCCCTCTCCATCAGCTAGAGACAGGCCGGGGTGGGGTTCTGAGATCTTCCTCACTGCTACGAACCGCAGCCACATACGAGAAGAGACACAACACAGAGTAGCAGATCTCATGGGCCTAGAGGGGAGAGAAAGCCAGGCGGGTCACGGTCCTGAGGCTCCTGCATCCCCACATTCGAGGATCTGCCAATGGCAACACCTGCCCTAACACTGGGCACGGGCCTCTGGGCTGAATGTGAGCTCCAAGCAAGACCTCAAGATGCTGTCCCTGTGGGAGAAGGGATCCGTGTGTGTGTGCCTGTCTCCCAGGGCTGAAGACCTGTTTCAGCTGGAGTTGAGCCTCTGGCAACTAGACCGGGTCCCCACTCACCCCTGTGCACTCAGAGGGCCCACCCCTCCTCCTGTCCGAAGGTCCCCGGGGAGCCCTGCGCAGACTGTGGCCTGTCAGGGTTGGGCAGCACACTCACCATTGGTGTCTTGTACTTGTGGCTCACCACTTCTTTAATTTCAGGAACTAAAACCGGACGGGCAAGAGACAAAACAGAAAGTTCAACACTAAGAGCAGTAGTGTCACGCTCCCCCAGGCGGCAGCGCCCGGCGCCAGGGTCCCCTTCCCCTCTGCGGCCTCTCACAGTGGCTGCAGCAGCTTAGGCTATGACAGGGCAGAGGCCACCAGAGGCTCTGTCCAGATACTGCCGACTGGGAGGACGTGGCCCCAGCCTCCTCAGCCAGGCCTCTGCCGTCTGCAGTGGCTTTTACTTGATGGCTGTGATTCCACCCACTTCTTTGAAAGCCCCGGATGGGAGGGTGGGCCTTTCACCAGCCTGGTCACGGCTGTCCAGGGCCCCTGAGGGGCTGCAGTGGAGAATTTCCAGGATTTGGCTGGGAGAAGAGAGCTGTCTCTAGCCTGTGTCCAACTTTACTGAGACACCCGTGAGCTCGTCTTGTCACCAGCCTGAAAGTCTGGTCATGTCAAACACAGTTCCCTTTATTCCCAGCCCCCTACACAGAGGGTCTCGAGGCTGGATGAAGAGGTAGCTCGATACTAAACCCTCAGGACGTGGAAGTGTTCTTCCCTGAGTGGCAGGAGAAGCCCAGGCCTGCCTGTGTGAGGGAGAGCGTCTGAGGGCTCTGGAGCGACACACCCAGCAGAAGACAGGCGAGTACAGCACCCAGGGAGGGAAGTGACAGGGAGCATCAGGCAAGATACACACATGTCCACAGCCCGGAAGGCAAGAGTTAAGAGTCCCCCCGCCCCAGCCATGCCGGGGTTCTGCTTGGCCAGAGGAAGGAGTAGGCCCCCAGGCTCAGCCATCATCATGGCCCCTTGAGACTGGGAGCAGAGGGGCCTGACATCTCCCCGGGGGCCAGAAAAGGCAGGAGGAGAATTGGTCGCACCTTCTTCTGACCCTGGGAGGGAGAATTTGGGGGAACCCAGGGCAGGTGGGGAATAAACTCATCAAAGGTAGATCGAGAAGCCCCAGGCCATTCTCCCAAGTTGGAAGATTCCCCTAAGTATCTCTCTGACAAAAGAGAGAAGGGAGCACACGGGAGGAACGTCAGAACCAGTGAGCCGGTGGGAGCGGGGAGGCAAGGGGGGAAGGGTGAGTCGGGGGGAGGAAGGAAGAGACGAGCTGGCAGTGTGAGCAGCTGGTTCGGCTGAAGGGAGCCCACCCACCCATGGCAGGGCCCAAGGCAGAGACCTGGGGAGAGGCAGCACGAGCCGAGATCACTTTACCTGCTGGAGAACGAAGGTTTTCATAGCAGCGATGAGGGGCACAAAAGAATGAAGCACAAACACAGCAGGAACTCAAAGCCCCAGGGTGAGAACCCACTACACCACTCGCTAGCGCTGGTCCCAGCTTCCGGCTACAGCTGCCCCTTCTGTCCCTGAGGCCCCCTAGGCTCCTGTGCCCCTCCAGTGAGTCTGCCTGTGATGCCCCATGCCCTTCGTCTGGCACAGAGACCAGGTGGAGACAAGTGGTGCCAGGGAGGCTGGGTGGTGCACTGGGCTGCTAGAAAGATTGCAGCAGGTGACAGACATAGTAGAACTTGGGGGTTGCCAGTCCGCTCTGTCCCCAACTTTCTGACCATTGGCTGGCTCAGCACGAGGAGATGGTGCTACTTTGCTGAGACGCTTCGGGACCACCTCTAAACTCAAAACCCACTGCCTCTTCTGCGACCCATTGTCTGTTTTTCCCTTCTCCTTCCCTGTTCTCATCTCAGAGGTCCCTTCTCTTCCTTGTCACTCCTGCTCCTCCTGACCTCTCTACAGAGGTTCTCCTTCTCCCTGCCCCTAGACCCTCCTCTGGAGCTCCGAGGTTTGAGTTACTGCCATGTGAGTCCAGACCTAAGAGCAAAATAGTGTAATTACCAAATTCCTCCAGGACAAAGACGCCTCGAACTGTATTGCACTTTTTAATGTGATTCAGCTCTATGAAAACCTGCAAGAGAGGGAGGGAGGGTGGGGTAAGGCCCAGAGGCGCCACCCCAGCCCCACACAGCACACTCTCCCGGCTACAGCCCCACCCGCACACAGAAAGCCTACTTCCCAAAGAGAGGACAGAAGAATTCACACACACACACAACTCAAAAGCGCTAAGAAGCAAAGATAGCAGAAAGGGCATGTACCTTCCGCTCCTGGCCGGAGGAGAAAGCATGGGAGAGAAATGAAGGCGTTAGTTTGAATGGTCAAATCCAACCCGAAGGCCCCGCTGCTGGCCTGGGCTGCCCGCCCGTACCCTCTGCCCAGGGCAGTGCTTGTAAGACATGGTGCCCCAGGGGTCCCCGCTCAGCCCATCAGGTCTCTACCCTTCCATGCATCCTCCTCCGGCGCAGAGGGCTGGCACAGGGCGCAAAGCTCCCCTCAGACTGTCCTCAGGGTGGGAGGTGTTGGTATCCTTCTTGAAACAGGATCCAGATCTCCCAAAAGGTATGTGGTGATAATAACACCAGCTACCACCTGCTGAGCACCTACTCGGGGTTTTACAAATACGATTTCTAATCCCTGCACCTACATGACACAGTATATAGTATTACCCCCATTTTCTACAGGAGGAAACTATCGATCGGAAAGTTTCTTTGCCCATGAACGTGGAAGCTGGGCTTCAAATCCAAGCACGTCCTGACACCAAAGCCTGTGCTTTTCCTATTCACTCCACCTCCACCAGGAGGTCTGCTGCCCCTCCACTCCAACTGACCACCATGTTGCAGAAGAGGGGGCAGGTCGCTGTCTCATTATTAACTGTGAGGTAAGACGGAGAAGCCGGGCTTTCCTCCCCTTCTCTTCTAGGGGCCAAGCCTTCAACCACAGACGGGCTTGGCTGGCTGCCCAGAGGGGCTGCGCCAAGAGCAGGATGAGGAAGAGGGCAGAGCACCTGGGCCCTGCTCAGCGAGATCCCATCTCCAGAAGGGGCAGCCATGGCACTAAAATGAGGTCAGCAGCCTGCTCCCCAAGAGGTACTGACACCTTTGTGGTCCAGAAAAGCACTCAGGTAGACCCATCACTTAGATAGACCCCTCTCTGGGCTGGCCCTAAGGTCTTTGGGGTTGGCTACCACCCTAAGTCCTAGATTGAAAATAAACTAAGGGGCTGCTGGGAGTCTGGGCAGCCGTTTCCTGTTAAACCAAAGCTGCCCAGCTACGTTCCTGAAAGAGCGCTACAGCAGCTAGTGGAGGCAGAAAGCCACGTCAGGTGGCGGCCACCTCCCGAGGGTCTGTGGCCTGGCCAGGGACTGTGGTGCTTCACACATTCGGATCTGGCTCAGAGCCTCAGGGAGGGAAACCAGGACATCAGGGAAAGAGGAGGGAAGGCACTTGTGTGAGGAGTCAGAGCTGTGAACGGACCTGGGATGATGCGCTGGCCTCAGAAAGGAATTAGCTTAAGGAATGTCCACTGAGAGAAAAAAGTAACACTGTGTTAAAGACCGAGAGAGAAAAAAAGTCAGCTCCTACGGTGGAATTACAATGAGGGAAAGATGTATCCAGATTGCTTCCCAATCAAAAGAAGGGGAATGGGGCCTGTGGAGCAGGGGACAGAGCGGGAACACTCAGAGGAAGGAAAATAACAGGAAGAACCCGCAGATGAAAAAGGCAAATAAACACACGCCGGACTTACACGCAGGCACGCACGCACACGCAAGCTGCACACGCACCAGAAAGACACAAGATCGGCCAGTCTAGACTCTCAAAGCAAAAACACCAGGCAGAAGCATACCCTGGGAATAAAGGAAGGCAGAGACACTGCGGGGAAGGGCCAAATGAGACGCTCCCACTCACACTGTGTGGAGTCCAACGGACGGGGCAGCGCGGCCACCCAGCCTCGCTCCTGCCCAGCCTCCCCCGAGGGCTCCCTGCTGCACCTTCACAGCACCTGGTGGTCGCCAATGTCATTGTGCCCTCCCCTGGGATTTCTCTCCCGGGTCCAGCTGCTCCAGTTCTCCCTCTAGCTCCAGAGGGCCCTTTCTCATGGTTCTGGGGAAGTACTGGGGGCCTGGACACTGGTCCTTCTTATGGATAGAACGACAGGGAGCCTCGTGCTGCCGCTCGCACTTACCTGGTTGTGCATGAACTTGAGGTTGATCCCTTCCAGGGTGACCTGCAGCAGGCCACCCTCACCAGTCTTCATGTCCTGCACGGGGAACTCGCCACCCAGTTCAGGTCCTGTGGTGAGGGAGAGGGCTATGAGCTCACTGGTGAGGTGGGGAATCATCCCGCCCCTGACTTTCCTGCCAGGCCCCCGACACTCAGAAGGACTGGGAGAAACAGAGGGAAGACGCTCTCAGGAAACTTTCTCCTCACCGGGTTTGATGCTTTGCTGTCGGGCGGCAGCGCGCTCCATGCTGTCCTTCACACAGTAGTACAGCTCCCGACACTACGGCACACGGGGAGAGTGGTCCCGTCATGGGGGCCGTCCAGGGTTCCCGCCCACTGCTCTGTAATGGCCACTGAAGGCGTAGGCTGACACCAGGACCTCAGAAACAGCTTTAGGTACCCCATCCAGCTGGAGACAGAAGCGTGGCTCCAGATGGGTTTGGGAATTTTTTTTTTTTTGAGACGGAGTTTCGCTCTTGTTACCCAGGTTGGAGTGCAATGGCGCGATCTCGGCTCACCACAACCTCCACCTCCTGGGTTCAGACAATTCTCCTGCCTCTGAGTAGCGGGGATTACAGGCACGCGCCACCATGCCCAGCTGATTTTTTGTATTTTTAGTAGAGACGGGGTTTCACCATGTTGAACAGGATGGTCTCGATCTCTCGACCTCGTGATCCACCCGCCTCGGCCTCCCAAAGTGCTGGAATTACAGGCTTGAGCCACCGCGCCCGGCCGGGTTTTGGAATTTCAACTTCCCCAAGAGAAACTATTTGGCCTTCAATGCCTACCCTAGCCCCAACCCAAACACAGTTCTTGGGTACCTTTTTAGTATAGAACTTGTTGAGCTGGGTCTCAGAGCCATTTCTACGCCACAAGCACAACACCTTGGTCTTGGGACAGTAGGTCATGTTGATGAGCTTCTCATACCACCAGCGCTCATACACCGTTCCGATGTTACTGCGCAATACCACACAGTCATCACACACCTGGAGAAGTGCACAAAGTGGCTCAGTGGTTTCTGTCTCTCACAGCCTCTCCCCAGACTGTCTCCTACAGAGAAATGATGGCACAACTGGCCTTGGGGCATCCCCATGGTCAGGTTTTCTGCCTTACACTTGTGGTCTCCCTAGGTGGAGACACAAAACAGAACTACTGACATGCTGCCGGACATAAGGACTGGAAGAAATGGATCATTAGAAGGAACCCGTATATAAGGGAGGAGGTTCAACTCAATCAGTTATTTATTATTTCTCTCTCTTTTTTTTTTGAGACAGGGTCTCACTTTGTCCCCCAGGTTTGAGTACAGTGGCGCAATCTCAGCTCCCTGCAGCCTCAATCTCCCAGTGAACCTGGGACATCATCTTCCTGCCTCAGCTCCCTGCAGCCTCAATCTCCCAGTGAACCTGGGACATCATCTTCCTGCCTCAGCTCCCTGCAGCCTCAATCTCCCAGTGAAACTGGGACATCATCTTCCTGCCTCAGCTCCCTAAGTAGCTGGGACTACAGGTGCACACCATCACACTGGCTATAATTTTTGTTTGAGATGGAGTCACTCTGTTGCCCATGCTGGAGTGCAGTGGTGCAATCTTGACTCACTGCAACCTCTGCCTGTGGGTTCAAATGATTCTCCTGCCTCAGCCTCCTGAGTAGCTGAGATTGCAGGCACATACCACCATGCTGAGCTAATTTTTGTATTTTTAGTAGACGAGGTTTCACCATGCTGACCAGGCTGGTCTTGAACTCCTGATCTCAAGTGATCCACCTGCCTTGGCCTCCCAAAGTGCTGGGATCATAGGCGTGAGTCACTGCGCCTGGCCCAGTTATTTATTACCGCTTATGTGCTCTACAGATTTAAAGTATTTGGAGGCGATCTCATGCCTCCATCTTATGACCTCTGGAATCATCTTTGTTGACAAACACAAAGGCAGAAGATCATGACAGACTTAACCAAGGAGGAAAATGGAGCCACTTTCTAATCCTGGCTCTACCCTTTCTCTATAAAAATACATTTTTTAAAAAATTAATTGTACAAGTGACACATGAACGGGGCTTATTGCATAAAAATGATACAATACAGCATGCCATAAATTAAAAAGCAGTCTTTCACACCTTCTTTTTATTCAACATTCTCCTTCAGGTGAAGTTATCTGTTCTTAGGGCTTCAAATGTTACGGGAGACATTACAGCACAATGGGGAGAGGCAAAGGTCTACAGTCAGATAGCTTGACTTTAGATGCCAGCTCTGCTGTTATTTAGCTGTGTCAGCTTGAGCAAGTTCACCTGTGTCCACATTTCCTCACGGCTAAGATGGGGACAGTAACAGTAATAACTTTCTGCAGTTAAACTATGAAGACTAAATGAGTTAATGTGCATAAAGTACTTAATATGCATACAAAAGCCAGGCACACAGAAAGTACCCTACTTAGCTACTAGATATCAGCAATATAAAACTAATGATTATTAAAATGTTGATGGTTCTTATCTCCTTCTCTATCTTAGATCTCTCTTCCTGAGCTCCTGAGCCTCTCAATGTCTGGATGTTTCACATGCAGCATCTCAAACTCACTGTGTCCAAATCTGAACTCAACATCTCCTCCTGGGTAGATCCTCCTTTATAGCCTGCTATTTGAGTAAACGGCACCCCCATCCACCCAGCTGCCCCAGCCAGACATGAAGAAGTGATGCCCAACTCTTTCCCTTTCCCTCTAACTACACTCCATCATTGAGTCCCAGTGGTTCTGGCTCAAATATCCCTAGACCGCTCTTCCACCCCCCAACCATTAACTCTTACTCTTTCAAGTCTCAGCTCAAAGGTCAACTTCTCAAAGGAGTTGTCCACAGCTCCTAGGCCCTCTGCTGTGTATTCGCATAACTCCTGCCCGCTGAGCTTCTTTCAGAATGTGCATCATATTTTATAATACTCTTTAATTATGAGACTTCCCCAATAGCTTTGTCAATGCTAAGGGCAACAGAAACCACATCTGTCTTATTCACTGCTATAATCCTGACACCCAACAAAGTACCTAGCATACAATATGTGCTCCATAAATACTAGGTGAGTGGGTAAGGAAGACACAAGACCATCAGGCTGAAGCTGCTATGTAAGAGTTCACTGGAGTTCTAAAGCCTTTGAAGGATGGGTAGGAGTTGGAAGGCAGAGTAGGAATTGGAAACTTGAACTCTAGCCCCAGTCTGATTCTGTGGTTTTCTCTAGGGGGAAAATGGATGATACCATTCCACCTTTAACGATCCTTTAAGAACATCATATAAAGGAGAGCAGAACACATTTAGAAGAACACATGATTTCTAAGCTAGAGAATTCTAGGCTAGAAAAATGCTCATAATATATAGTGCTATACTCGTTTAAGCGGTTGTTGGAGGTGTAAACTGGTATAGTCTATGGGATGGCAATTTGGCAGAATCTATCGAAATTTAAAATATATATAAGCTTGACTTGAAAATTTCATGTCTAGGCCTATATCCTATAGAAATTCTCATGTGACAGTACAAAAATGTATGTTCAAGGATAGTCAATGAGCAATTTTTTTTTGAGACACAGTCTTGCTCTTTCACACAGGCTGAACTGCAGTGGTGCAATCATAGCTCACTGAAGCCTTGACCTCCCAGGCTCAAGGATCCTCCCTACTTAGCCTCTCCAGTAGTTGGCACCATGGCCATGCACTAGTATGCCTAGCTTATTTTAAAATTTTTTTGTAGAGACAGGGTTTCCCTATGTTGCCCAGAGTGGTCTTGACCTGCTGGGCTCAAGCAATCCTCCCACCTCAACCTCCCCAGTAGTTGGGACCACAGGCGTAAACCGCCACATGAATGGCTAATTTTAAAATGTTTTGTAGAGACAAGGTCTCCGTATGTTCCCCAGGCTGGTCTTAAACTCTGGGCTCAAGCAAAGTGCTAGGATTACAGGCATAAGCCATCATGCTTGGCCTAATGAACAATATTTTTTTAAAAAAATAGTGGGAGGCGGGCCAGAAGCGGTGGCTCATGCCTGTAATCCCAGCACTTTGGGAGGCTGAGGTGGGTGGATCATAAGCCTGTAATCCCAGCACTTTGGGAGGCTGAGATTGAGACCATCCTGGCTAACATGGTGAAACCCTGTCTCTACTAAAAAATACAAAAAAAAAAATTGGCTGGACATGGTGGTGCGTGCCTATAGTCCGAGCTACTTGGGAGGCTGAGGCAGGAGAATTGCTCGAACCCGGGAGGTGGAGGTTGCAGTGAGCCGAGATCGCACCACTGCACACCAGCCTGGCGCCTAGCGATAGAGCAAGATTCTGTCTCAAAAAAAAAAAAAGTTGAAGGCAAACCAATTATGGTACACCATTTGACATCTAATGGCTAAACATCCACTAAACTAAAAAAAAAAAAAAAAAAAAAGGAGACATGGAAAGGTATATCATTAAGTAAAAAAAGCAAATAATTTAACAGCATTTGTAATTTGTTTGTTTGTTTTTTTGAGACAGTCTCACTTTGTCGCCCAGGTTGGAGAGCAGTGGTATGATCTTGGCTCACTGCAACTTCTGCCTCTGGGTTCAAGTGATTCTCCTGCCTCAGTCTCCCAAGTAGGTGGGATTACAGGCACCTTCCACCATGCCCAGCTAATTTTTGTATTTTTAGTAGAGACGGGGTTTCACTGCACTGGGCAGACTGGTCTGCAACTCCTGACCTCAGGTGATCTACCTGCCTCAGCCTCCCAAAGTGCTGGGATTACAGGCTCATGCAAGCCCCACACTTGGCCCAATATTTGTTATTTATTTATTTATTTATTTATTTATTTGAGACGGAGTTTCGCTCTTGTTACCCAGGCTGGAGTGCAATGGCGCGATCTCGGCTCACCGCAACCTCCGCCTCCTGGGTTCAGGCAATTCTCCTGCCTCAGCCTCCCGAGTAGCTGGAATTACAGGCACGCGCCACCATGCCCAGCTAATTTTTTGTATTTTTAGTAGAGACGGGGTTTCACCATGTTGACCAGGATGGTCTCTATCTCTTGACCTCGTGATCCACCCGCCTCGGTCTCCCAAAGTGCTGGGATTACAGGCTTGAGCCTCCACGCCCGGCCAATATTTGTAATTTAATACCACTTTCATAAGTGCCAAAACAAAATTCCATATAAATAAATTATATTTACACAAATATGCATTTTCAATAATCTAAAAGGAGTCACACAAAATTCTTTTAACAATGGTTACCTCTGGGACAAACGATTGAGAGGGAGTGAAACTTTTACTTATTTTTCAACTTTTGCATGGTTTGAAACGTTTATAGCATATGCTGTTTAACTTTTGTAACTTAAAAAAAGGAAAATAAAAACAATTTTAAAAAATATTTGGCCAGGTGCAGTGGCTCACACCTGTAATCCCAGCACTTTGGGAGGCCAAGGCAGACAGATCACTTGAGGCCAGGAGTTCAAGACCAGCCTGGTCAACATGGCAAAACCTCTTTTCTAATAAAAATACAAAAATTTACCTGAGTGTGGTGGCACGTGCCTGTAGTCGCAGCTACTCGGGAGGCTGAGGTAGTACAATCATTGGAACTTGGGTGGGTGGAGGTTGCAGTGAGCCAAGATTGCACCACTGCACTCTAGCCTGGACAACAGAGCAAGACTCCATCTCAAAAAAAAAAAAAAAAAAAAAAAAAAAAAAATCTTGGCTGGGTGCTGTGGCTCACGCCTGTAATCCTATCTCTTAGGGAGGCAGAAGTGGGAGGATAGCTTGAGCCCAGGAGTTAGAAACCTGCCTGGGCAATATAGCAAGACCCCATTCTCAAAAAAAAAAAAAAAAAAAAAAAAATCTTCCTTGGCCAGACGTGGTAGCTCACGCCTGTAACCCCAGCACTTTGGGAGGCTGAGGTGGGCAGATCACGTGAGGTCAGGAGTTGGAGACCACCTTGGCCAAAATGGCCAAACCCCATCTCTATTAAAAATATAAAATTTAGCCGGCTGTGGTGACAGGCACTTGTAATCCCTGCTACTTGGGAGGCTGAGGCAGAAGAACTGCTTGAACCTGGGAGGTGGAGGTTGCAGTGAGCCAAGATCATGCCAGAGCACTCTAGCCTGGGTGACAGAGAGAGACTCTGTCTCACATACACACACACACAAAATTTATATATATATATATGTTAAAAATTTCTGTGTGTCAAAAAATACAATAGGCAGAATCAGAAGACAAATGAGAAACTTTCTGGTGGGCAGATCAGGTTGCCCACATCTAAGCCCACTGATCAGTAGGAGAGGGATGACCACATGAGGCAACATGAAGCATACAGCACCGCTCATTAAGTATTCCGGCCAAAAGAGTGAATCTGAAACTGATCAAACCTCGAAACTAAACTACCAGTCTATGAGAAATACAAGTGATAGGGAAACATAATAACACAAAGGAGATGCAATCAGCAAAAAATCTAGAATGTAGGAGACTTCACGGTGCAAACCATCCAATTTGTTAAACAAAATAAATGGCAAAGGGGGTATTACGTGTTTAGAGACACCTAAGAATTATATCAACCAAAATTACAAATGCATGTCCCTCTGACCCAGCAATCTCATTTCTGGGAATCCTTAGACACACCTGCACATGTATGAAATGAAGCAGGCACAGCATCATTCACAGTATCACTATCAGCAACAGCAAGTTTGGAAGCAACCATATGTACTGACTTGTTAAATAAATTATGGCACAGTAACAGCAGAATACGTGTAGCCTTAAAACAAAGAGGAAAGCTTTCTTGGTACTGATTTAGAAGAGGACCAGGATAATGTTAAATGAAAAAAGCAAAGTATAAAGCAATGGATAAGATGTCTTTTTCTGAAAGGAGAAAAAGAAAATGTGTGTTCATATTTTATTGTTTGCAATAAAATATGAGCTCAGTGGCTCACACCTGTAATCCTAGCACTTTGGGAGGCTGAGGCGGGTGGATCACCAGAGGTCAGGAGATTGAGACCAACTTGACGAACATGGTTAAACCCATCTCTACTAAAAATACAACATATGCCAGGCGCGGTGGCTCAAGCCTGTAATCCCAGCACTTTGGGAGGCCAAGGCGGGTGGATCACGAGGTCAAGAGATCGAGACTATCCTGGTCAACATGGTGAAACCCCGTCTCTACTAAAAATACAAAAAAATTAGCTGGGCATGATGGCGCGTGCCTGTAATCCCAGCTACTCAGGAGGCTGAGGCAGGAGAATTGCCTGAGCCCAGGAGGCGGAGGTGGCGGTGAGCCGAGATCGCGCCATTGCACTCCAGCCTGGGTAACAAGAGCGAAACTCCGTCTCAAAAAAAAAAAAAAAAAAACATATTAGCCAGGCGTGGTGGTGGGCGCCTGTAAACCCAGCTACTTGGGAGCCTGAGGCAGGAGAATCGCTTGAATCCAGAGGCAAAGGTTGCGGTGAATCAAGATCATACCACTGCACTACAGCCTGGACAACACAGCAAGACTCTGTCTCAAAAAAAAAAAAAAAGAAAAGAAAAAAGAAAAAAAAAAAACCCACTGGAATTTGCAAAGGAAACAAATAAAAGTGGTTGGCTATAGGATGAAGGGGTGAGGGAAGTGGGAAACTGAGTGGAAGGGGACAGTTATGAGTGCAAGACTTCCCAATGTGTACTATTTTGTGTTATTCTGATTTACGAACAATGTGACTATATCATCTATACATAGATATCTTTATGTATCCAACATGGTGAAACCCTGTCTCTACTAAAATAAAAAAGTTGGTCAGGCATGGTGGCGCACACCTGTAATCCCAGCTACTCAGGAAGCTAAGGCAGGAGAATCGCTTGAACCCAGGAGGTGGAGGCTGCAGTGAGCCAAGATCATGCCAATGCAATCCAGCCCGGATGACAAAGCGAGACTCTGTCTTAAAAAAAAAGAGCCGGGCGCGGTGGCTCAAGCCTGTAATCCCAGCACTTTGGGAGGCCGAGGCGGGTGGATCACGAGGTTGAGAGATCGAGACCATCCTGGTCAACATGGTGAAACCCCGTCTCTACTAAAAGTGCAAAAAATTAGCTGGGCATGGTGGCACGTGCCTGTAATCCCAGCTACTCAGGAAGCTGAGGCAGGAGAATTGCCTGAGCCCAGGAGGAGGAGGTTGCGGTGAGCCGAGATTACGCCATTGCACTCCAGCCTGGGTAACAAGAGTGAAACTCCGTCTCAAAAAAAAAAAAAAAAAAGAAAAGGCCAGGCACAGTGGCTCAAGCCTGTAATCCCAGCACTTTGGGAGGCCGAGGCGGGTGGATCACGAGGTCAAGAGATCGAGACCATCCTGGTCAACATGGTGAAACCCCGTCTCTACTAAAAATACAAAAAATTAGCTGGGCATGGTGGCGCGTGCCTGTAATCCCAACTACTCAGGAGGCTGAGGCAGGAGAATCGCCTGAACCCAGGAGGCGGAGGTTGCGGTGAGCTGAGATTGCGCCATTGCACTCCAGCCTGGGTAACGAGAGCGAAACTCCATCTCAAAAAAAAAAAAAAAAGAAAAAGAAAAGAAATGGGTATCATCTAATCTGATAATCTGGCCAGGCACAGTGGCTCATGGCTCTAATCCCAGCACTTTGGGAAGCCGAGATGGGTGAACCACTTGAGGTCAGGAGTTTGAAACCAGCCTGGCCAACGTGGTCAAACCCCATCTTTACTAAAAATACAAAAATCACCTGGGCATGGTGGCTGGTGCCTGTAATTCCAGCTAATTGGCAGTAGAACTGCTTGAACTCGGAAGGCAGAGGTTGCAGTGAGCTGAGATTGAGCCACTGCACTCCAGCCTGGGTGACAGAACAAGACTATCTCAAAAAAACCCAAAAGAACAAAACAAAACAAAAATCTGATGATTTAATGATAAATGGATCATGAAGATGAATGAGAGAAATGAGGAAAATATTCTAGCATCAGTTCTAGGAATTCCCTGTGACTCTCAGATAGACCTCTGGGCCCCCAGCATGAACCAGCACCTACCTCCATAAAAAAGATATCTCCATTTGTATCTGTCCCTGCATGTACCACAAATGTCTGCTTCTTCATGTGCCGGCTGCCACTGGACCAGATAGAGAGATCGCGTCCATTCTGATGAAAGAGAGATTTTTTTAGGGACAGTCATACATCCCTCCCAGAGAGCTCTGGGCCAACAATTCCCCATCCAGCAATCAAATTCCTATCAGCTTCCTCAGCATAGTCTCATCTGCTGGCCACTGGTCACCAGGGAAGTGATTTCAGATGCTTTGGTCTCAGCCCTGTATCTCTTAAATATTATTAAAGATTCCAAAGAGCTTTTGTTTATGTGAGTTATATTTATAGGTATTTACATACTAGAAATTTAAATGGAAATTTCTCAAATGAGTAATTATACAATTAATGATTCATTAATAGCCCATTACATAGTAATATAAGTAACAATTTTTTGTAAAATAACTATATTTTCCAAAAAAGAAAAAGATAGAGAAAAGAATGGCACTGTTTCACATTTTTGCAAATCTCTTTCATGTTTGACTTAACAGCAAATAGTTGCATCCTCCTATCTGCTTCTGCATTCAGCCTGTTGCAATACGTTGCTTTGCTTGAGGTATATGAAGAAAACTTGACCTCCCAGATACATATTTGGAAAATGGAAGAGAATTTTCATAGCCTTTTCAGAAAAATAGGCGTATTCTTCTTTAACACTATACCAGAACTTGAGAAGGAGCAGCCTCTTCTTTTTTTAGAGAAAAGGTCCTGCTCTTTCACCCAGGCTGGAGTGCAGTGGCACAACCATAGCTTACTACAGTTTTGAACTCCTGGGCTTAAGTGACATTCCTGCCTCAGCCCAAGTACTTGGGATTACAGGCATAAACGGCCACACTCAGTGATAGCAGCTTTAAAAAAAAATTTTTTTAAGATGGGGTTTCACCATATTGGTCATGCTGGTCTCGAACTCCTGATCTCTGGTGATCTGCTCACCTCAGCCTCCCAAAGTGCTGGGATTACAGGAGTGAGCCACCACGCCCGGCTGATAGCGGCTTTTTTTTTTTTTGAGACGGAGTTTCACTCTTGTTACCCAGGCTGGAGTGCAATGGCGCGATCTTGGCTCACCGCCACCTCCGCCTCCTGGGTTCAAGCAATTCTCCTACCTCAGCCTCCTGAGTAGCTGGGATTACAGGCAAGCGCCACCATGCCCAGCTAATTTTTTTGTATTTTTAGTAGAGACAGGGTTTCACCATGTTGACCAGGATGGTCTCGATCTCGACCTCGTGATCCACCCGCCTCGGCCTCCCAAAGTGCGGGATTACAGGCTCGAGCCACCGCGCCCGGCACTTTTTTTTTTTTTTTTTTTTTGAGACGGAGTTTCGCTCTTGTTATCCAGGCTGGAGTGCAATGGCGCGATCTCGGCTCACCGCAACCTCCGCCTCCTGGGTTCAGGCAATTCTCCTGCCTCAGCCTCCTGAGTAGCTGGGATTACAGGCACGTGCCACCATGCCCAGCTAATTTTTTGTACTTTTAGTAGAGATGGGGTTTCACCATGTTGACCAGGATGATCTCAATCTCTCGACCTCGTGATCCACCCGCCTCGGCCTCCCAAAGTGCTGGGATTACAGGCTTGAGCCACCGCGCCCGGCCTGATAGCAGCTTTTTAAAGTTAGTTCAGTGTGGAATCTGAAAGCACATCAATGAGCATTTTACACTGTTACATTAAAATCCATTTAGGCTGGACATTGTGGCTCATTCCTGTAATCCCAACACTTTGGGAGCCCAAGTTGGGAGTTTCGTTTGAGCCGAGGCAGGAGTTGGAGACCAGCCTGGGCAACACAGTGAGACCCTATTCTCCATACTTTTGTTTTTTTGAAACAGGGTCTCCCTCTGTCACCCAGGCTGGAATGCAGTGGTGCTATCATGGCTCACTGCAGCTTCAACAGTGAGCTCAAGTGATCCTCCCACCTCAGCCTCCCAAGCAGCTGGAACTACAGGTGCATGCCACCACATCCGGCTAATTGTTTTATTTTTATTAGAAATGGGGTCTCCCAGCCGGGCGCGGTGGCTCAAGCCTGTAATCCCAGCACTTTGGGAGGCCGAGGCGGGTGGATCACGAGGTCAAGAGATCGAGACCATCCTGGCCAATATGGTGAAACCCCGTCTCTACTAAAAATACAAAAAATTAGCTGGGCATGGTGACACATGCCTGTAATCCGAGCTACTCAGGAGGCTGAGGCAGGAGAACTGCCTGAACCCAGGAGGCGGAGGTTGCGGTGAGCCGAGATCGCGCCATTGCACTCCAGCCTGGGTAACAAGAGGAAAAACTCCGTCTCAAAAGAAAAAAAAAAAGAAAAGAAAAAAAAAAGAAATGGGGTCTCCCTATGTTGCCCAGGCTGAAAATAAAATTTTACTTAAAAATTAAAAATAAGGCCAGGTGCAATGGCTCAAGCCTGTAATTCCAGCATTTTGGGAGGCTGAGGTGGGTGGATCGCCTGAGGTCAGGTGTTCTAAGACCAGCCTGGCCAACATGCATGAACAAAGCGATTAAGTTCACCTTGAAAATCAAGGTCACAGCTCTACTAAAAATACAAAAACTTAGCTGGGTATGTTGGTGTGTGCCTGTAATCCCAGCTACTAGGGTGGCTGAGGCAGGAGAATCACTTGGACTCAGGAGGCAGAGATTGTAGTGAGCTGAGACTGCACTACTGCACTCCACCCTGGGCAAGAGTGAAACTCTGTCTCAAAAAAAAAAAAAAAAAAATTGGCCGGGCACAGTGGCTCAAGCCTGTAATCCCAGCACTTTGGGAGGCCGAGGTGGGTGGATCACGAGGTCAAGAGATCGAGACCATCCTGGTCAACATGGTGAAACCCCGTCTCTACTAAAAATACAAAAAATTAGCTGGGCATGGTGGCACACGCCTGTAATCTCAGCTACTCAGGAGGCTGAAGCAGGAGAATTGCCTAAACCCAGGAGGCGGAGGTTGCGGTGAGCTGAGATCGAGCCATTGCACTCCAGCCTGGGAAACAAGAGCGAAACTCCATCTCAAATAAATAAATAAAGAAAGAAAGAAAGAAAAAAAGATTCATATATCTGCCTTCCATTTTGAGTAGATCTTTCATCCATACTTGAATTTATAACATCATACATTGGTATTTAGAAAACACTGGCTGGGTGCAGTGGCTCATGCCTATAATCCCAGCACTTTGGAAGGCCAAGGCAGATGAATCAAGAGGTCAGGAGTTTGAGACCAGCCTGGCCAACATGCTGAAATCCCGTCCCTACTAAAAATACAAAAAAATTAGCTGGGCACGGTGGTGGGTGCCTATAATCCCAGCTACTTGGGAGGCTGACGCAGAAGAATTGCTTGAACTCAAAAGGCAGAGCTTACTGTGAGCCAAGATTGCACCACTGCATTCCAGTCCCGTGACAGTGTGAGACTCCATCTCAAAAAAAAAAAGAAAGGAAAAAAAAAAAATTGCTTCATTGAGTTACGCAGCTCTTCCAAATGTTGACATATTTTGTAATATTAAATATTTTTAAAATCACATTCATTAATATCACCATCAATCTCATTAGAAAAGTCTTTAAATATTGGGAAGCTTCAAGTTTAAAACTCTGCCAAAATTCTCATTTTCACTTAAAAGCTGAATCTCATCATTGGCAACAAATACTGTCAGTTGTTTTTCTTGAAACAACAGGTTCACTTCATTAACTTAAGGAAAATGTCTGCCAAATATCCAACTCTGAATAACCACGGTTTGCTAGTTGTCGAGTAAAAATGATGTTCCATGAACAAAGCGACCAAGTTCACCTTGCAACTCAAGGTCGCAAATTGCTTTTCTTCAAAAAAACCCATCATACTGGGTTTGCAACAGAGATGCTTTATGTGTACTTCCCATTTTGTCACACAGAATATTAAAAACATTTATAATCAATGATCAAGATTTTTTTTTTCGTAGACAGAGTCTCGCTCTGTCGCCAGGCGCCAGGCTGGAGTGCAGTGGCACGATCTTGGCTCACTGCAATCTACACCTCCCGGGTTCAAGCCAGTCTCCTGCCTCACCCTCCCAAGTAGCTAGGGCTAACACGCCACCACACCCAGCTAATTTTTTTTTTTTTTTTTTTTTTTGAGACGGAGTTTCGCTCTTGTTACCCAGGCTGGAGTGCAATGGCACGATCTCGGCTCACCGCAACCTCCGCCTCCTGGGCTCAGGCAATTCTCCTGCCTCAGCCTCCTGAGTAGCTGGGATTACAGGCATGCGCCACCATGCCCAGCTAGTTTTTTTGTATTTTTAGTAGAGACGAGGTTTCACCATGTTGACCAGGATGGTCTCGATCTTTTGACCTCGTGATCCACCCGCCTCGGCCTCCCAAAGTGCTGGGATTACAGGCTTGAGCCACCGTGCCCGGCCTCGCTAATTTTTATATTATTAGTACAGATGGGGTTTCACCATGTTGGCCAGTATGGTCTCGATCTCTTGACCTTGTGATCTCCCTACCTCAGCCTCCCAAACTGCTGGGATTACAGGCATGAGCCACCACGCCTGGTCAATGATCAAGATTTAATAAAAGTAATAGTCTTCACTGCTTCTTCAAGGACATTTATAAGCACAACTGGCATTTTTAAAAAACTGAGAGTGCAAGCCAGGTGTGGTGGCTCACATCTGTAATCCCAGAACTTTGGGAGGCTGAGGTAGGTGGATCACTTAAGATCAGGAGTTTGAGACCAGTCTGGCCAACATGGCAAATAAATCCCTGTCTCTACTAGAAATACAAAAATTAACTGGGCGTGGTGGTGCATGCTGGTAATAATCCCAGTTATTCAGGAGGCTGAAGCAGGAGAATTGCTTGAACCTGGGAGGCGGAGATTGCAGTGAGCCAAAATCATGCCACCGCACTCTAGCCTGGGCAACAAGAGAGCAAAACTCTGCTTCCAAACACACACACACATTAGCTGGGTGTGGTGGCATGCACCTGTAATCCCAGCTACTCATGAGTCTGAGGCACAAGAAAAAACAAAAAAAAAACCTGAGAGTGTATGGAGGCAAGGAATACAACAGCTACTGGCATACTTTGGGGCCACTGTCTTCGCCTGGGTTAAAGTACCAGCAGTTTTACCCACCACTGCTTTGGTACCGTCAGTGCAAATGTAACCCGGTGAAAACGGCAAATAACATTTTTAGAATGTTATTTTGTTTGAAATGATTTTCATCCTCTGAATCCTCAGCAGTCCACAGACCACACATCAAAACTGATGCATTATAATGGTTTTATATAGAGAATCCCATCAGCAAATACAGGGACTAAAGCCTCATTTAGAGTCAAAGACAACTGCTCCATTTTCCAAACCAGGGGTGAACTGGACTGCAAGTGACACAAACCAAGAAATGACCCATGGGGAAGGAAGCCTAAGGGGTGGCCAGTTGCGCTTACCAGATTTGCCAGCTGATCAAGCACCTCATTGATTTGCTGGCTGTACACAAGCCCAATGTGCGACTTTCCCATTAGCCGCCTCACCTTCTTGCGGATGTCATTCTTATTTACCTGAAAAGCCAGAACAGGAATCTTAACAAGGGATCTGCTCTCCTCTCAACAGAGGTAGAGAGAAGAGAATGTACAAGTGGGTTTCCTACTATCTAGAGACATGGAATTCTGAAAGACCACATCACTGAACATGGGTGAAAACTTCCAACTGTGTATTCTGCCACAATGAGGGGAGGAAAAGCCCTGGCTCTGTCTCTAGTTAGCTTCTGCAGAAAAGTGGCTCTTAGAGCAGTTCTGGTTCCAGGGGACACTTTCTCCCTATCCCCACTTAATTCCACAACATTCACCCCTACAGGGGCTCTAAAACCCGCCAGGGCTCTTCACAGGATAATTCAGAAACAATGACTTAAGAGTGGCAACACCACACTGGTTGTAGCCAAGATACCTCTGAAGGTTAGGGTTCAGTATCCTTTCCCAGCCAGTCAACTGGCATCCTCCAAATTCTGCAGAGTACAGTGAAACTTACACCAAGAAATGAAGCAGACCAAGAGGGGCTGGGGGCATTCATTCCCTGCATTTGATCAACTGATCCCTTCACACTTAAGCAGGTTGAGGAGAACAGAAGGAGGAGAAACCCAGTGGCTCCTTCTCCAAACAGTTCTCTTCTGCCCATCAACTTATGTTTCCCTTTCAGAACAGAACTCTTCTACTTGGTAACATACTTCTTCCACAGCTATTAAAACCAAGTACAACCAAATTAAGTTAGAATCTACTATTACTTTGTTAATGGGTGGCTCTTTTTTTTAACTATAGAAAATTCTGTAAGATACAGGGCAATGCTGAAAAACAAAATCTGAACATCATTCCTTTTTTTTTGAGACGGATTTTTGCTTTTGTTGCCCAGGCTGGAGTGTAATGGCACGACCTCGGCTCACTGCAACCTCCATCTCCTAAGTTCAAGCGATTCTTCTGCCTCAGTCTCCCAAGTAGCTGGGATTACAGGTGTGAGCCACCACACCCAGCTAACTTTTGTATTTTTAGTAGAGACAGGGTTTCACCATATTGGTCAGGCTGGTCTCGAACTCCTGATCTCAGGTGCTCCATTGCCTTGGCCTCCCAAAGTGCTGGGATTATAGGTATGAGCCACTGTGCCCAGCCTTGAGCATCCTTTCTGAGGTTTTATAATTTACTACTGCAAAAAAAAAATTAATTCATTGTATTTTATGGGAAGCTCTACTGATACTAAAACTATTTAGTAAAAGGAGGCCATATAAATTTCAAAATAAACAAATAATGGCTGGGCATGATGGCTCATGCCTGTAATCCCAGCACTTTGGGAGCCTGAGGCAGGCGGATCACTTGAGGTCAGGAATTCAACACCTGGCCAACTGGCTGAAACTCCATATCTACTAAAAATAGAATAATTAGCCAGGCATGGTGGTAGACACCTGTAATCCCAGCTACTACTCAGGAGGCTGAGGCAGGAGAATTGCTTGAACCCAGGAGGCAGAGAATGTGGTAAGCCAAGATCGCACCACTGCACTCCAGCCTGGGCAACAGAGTGAGACTCCATCTCAAAAAAATGAAAATAAAGATAGATAAATAAATAATATGGAATCATCAGTTCTTGGCCAGGCACAGAGGCTCATGCCTGTAATCCCAGCACTTTGGGAGGCAGAGGTGGGTAGACCACTTGAGGTCAGGAGTTCAAGACCAGCCTGGCTAACATGGTGAAAGCCTATCTCTACTAAAAATACAAAAATTAGCTGGGTGTGGTGGTGGGCACCTGTAATCCCAGCTACTTGGGAGGCTGAGGCACAAGAATCACTTGAACTCAGGAGGCAGAGGTTGCAGTCAACTGAGACTATGCCACTGCACTCAAGCCTGGTCAACAGAGCAAGACTCAGTCTCAAAAAAAGAAACAGAATCATCAGTTCTTTCTACAATACTCCTTAGTAAAACAGGCTGGCAGCTTCAAATAAACAGAACTTTGTAAGCTGGCAGAGAGGCCTCAGACTTTCAATCAAGAAGACAGCCCTAAGTAAGATACCTTGATAGCTTCCCAGCTGCTCTGAAATTCAGGTGACAGGAACAAGCCTTGCCCTTCTAGCATCAGTGGAGCTGAACACAGCAAAACTGACATTACCTTCATCAGCAGCATGTAGGAGATGAGGTTGTGCAAAAGTGTAGCCAGCAGGCGATCTTCATCATCTTCCAGGCGCTTCCGGTCATGTTCTCCCAGGGACAGGTACCTAAGCAGAAGACCAAGCACAAGTCGGCCCTCAAGTGGGAGACCACAGAACTAACTGAGAGAAGGCTGAATTTGCATATTCCCAATGGTTTCCTAAGCCCCATACCTGTCAATCATTTCCTGGGGACCCTGGTCCATACCCATCCCTTCTCTCTCCAACATCACAGCATCTAAGAAGGCATCTTCCCAGAATTGCATTTGGTCCCATAAAGTAGAACGCTCTTTGCCTGTGTAGAATAAAGGTTTTTTAGGGGGCTTATTTAACTTTTAAGAATATAGCTGCCAAACAAAAATAAAGAGTAAAATCCAGATAAAAGAGAATAATTACAAATTTCAGGGCAAAGGAAACACAACCTCTCTACCCACATCTAACATGCCTGCCACCAGCCCCAGATGCCTCCAAGTAAGGCCCAGTCCCTCCCAAGGAGGAGGGATGAACACAGCACACAAATAAATGTGGTTACTTATAGAAAAGGTCTCCATAGCTGCATCCTCTAACTGGTCCCACATGGATCCTTTGTCCCTTCCTGCCAATTGCAGAGCAGGAAGGACCATGGTAGCAAGAAAGGAAAGAAAGGAAGACAGAAAGGCAGAGGCTGTTGATTAATACCGAAACCCAATCTTGTCCAGTTTTCACCTACTGCTTGTTCTAGACCCAGTAAGTCGCTTGCTCCAGATGTAAAAATGCTGTCTAATGTCAGCATTGAGATCAGTAGAAAGCCAAGCAGCTACTTGTTCAGTGTGACCCTTTCCCCTGGCTGAGCCAGCTTTCTCCAGTGCAAGGGGCCTTCCCAGGACGTTTCTCACCTAGGAGTCCTTCATAGAGGTAGACTCGCTGGCTCACATCTTCAGAAGCACGAATTGGACTGCCTGCCAGCTTCTCCTTTACACTTGGCTTCAAGCTGTGGGCTTTACCCTAGAGAGAAGAGGTGACAGGTCAGTGGCCAGAGGTACCAATGAACAGGGGCATAGGAAACCAAGGATTTCACTAAGAGGCTCTCACACCAGTCACTATCCATCAGCAACATAAACTCCAGTACCCCTGCTTCAAGTCCACTTACGCTGCTTTCTGTTACTGGCTCCTAAACTATAAAATCAAGTTTTCATTTTTGACTTATCTTTACTTTTTAGTCTCTGTAAGATTATTTTCTCTTTAAAGCAACAATGCCAACAATCAGACTAATTCTCTATGTGGCAACATAACACAGCAGAAAAAACCCAGGGTTTGCTGTCAGACTGACCAGGTTCAGATCCCTGCCTCTTATTGGCTGTGTGACCTTAGGTACAAAAATTAGCTTCTCTGAGCCTCATTTTCCTTATCTGTCAAAGGAAGGTTATAATACCTACCTCATAGGACTATTTTACAAGGATTACATCTGAAGATACATATAAGGCACTTAACGGTGCTTAACACATGGCCAGTAATTGAGTAATTTCTTCTTTCCTATCATCTCTTTCTGCTCCTAAGAAATATCACTAACTTCATCTGCCACTTCTGAGTAGATTTTCTATTCATTAAAAGATTTTCAACTAGGCAAGAAGTAGGTAATATCATGCCATTTTACAACATATAAAACAGAATAAGTAAATAAGCAACTGATCAAAGGTTATTGGGTAAGAACATCATGCCATTTTACAACACATCAAATAGAATAAGTAGAGAAGCGAACTGATGAGAGGTTACTGGGTAAGGCCTAATCAGTGTAACTAAATACCAGTCTCCTGGTTCACAGCCCAATATTTTACTATGAACCACGTGACTTTACATTATTTGTTTCTTATTAAAACAGCCTTGTTTGAGCAAAGAAATTCAGGTAACTACACTCAGCAGCTCTGTATAAAGAGCCCTTACCCACCAGCATAGGACAGATATGAATTTGTTTCAGGAAGATGCCAGAAAAGGTAGCACACAGCTGAATGGCTTCCTGCAAGACCGTTAACTCTGTCCTATCTATTTTACCATTTGGAATGGAAACGCATTGGAGTAATTTTAAATACTCTTATTAAAAAGCAGCCCACTTTGGCCAGGCGCGATAGCTCACGTCTGTAGTCCTAGCACTTTGGGAGGCTGAAGCAGGAGGAACACTTAAGCCCAGAAGTTCAAGACCAGCCTGGGCAATGTAGCAACACCCTGTTTCTATAAAAAAAAATAAAAATCTTAGCCAGGAGGGATGGTGCATGCCTGTAGTCCCAGCTACGTGGGAGGCTGAGGCAGGAGGATTTCTTGAGCCCAGAAGTTTGAGGCTGTAGTAAGCCATGATCGCACCACTGCACTGCAGCCTAGGTACCAGAGCAAGACCTTGTCTCATAAGTAAATAAGTTAACTTAATAAATACATATTTTTAAAAAGCAACAAAAAAATAAAACAGCCTAGGGCAGTAATGTCAGGAATATGGCCAAGTACCCCTGGAACTCATCCCTGTCACAAAGAGAGCCAGAAGGATGAATAAACAGCAATACTTTAACAAATACAACTGAGGGAGAGTGTGGGGGTGCATCAGAAAGGGAGACAGGAACGCTGATGAGCACTGAAACTCAGGATGGCCACATAGAGAACAGAAGGCAACATCAGGCCTCCATCCCCATCCCCCTTCCCCCATCCAGGATCAGCTGGGAATAAGGAGGAACTTCTCCCTACAGCAAGGAAGCAAGCAAGACAATTCTAGAAACTTCCACCAACACCTTGGACACCTACAGACTCCACCACTAGCTTCCCTGCAGTCCTCTAAGCACTAAGCCCAGCTCAAGGAGCTGCCTGGAAGTCCATACAGCTATGCTGCCTCCAGAGGAGGAGCCAATACTGTATGCCAGCCCCTGTGGCCTGTGTGGCTACTATGCTATGCCATCTTGGAATTGGAACTATGGTGGGAGTGTTTTGTTCTGGGGGCAGATGGCCACAGATCACCTTCATTCCTGAGGCTAAGCCACCACCAAACCACTCCAACAAGATGTCCTGACAATCTAAGCCAAGCTGTGAGCATCTATTACACCATTCCCCAAGAAACCAAGTGGAGGCAGGGCCATTCCATCTACCCCTCCCCTGTCCCCTTGGGCTGGAGCTGAAGCAGTACCCTATCTACTGGGCAAACAGTAGATTGCTGAGAGCAGCAATCTAAGGTGAAGCAGCACTCTGTATTCCAGGAAATGGTGACCCAGGGCAGTCATGCATCCTAATACCTAACCTGAAGCCGCACCCTGCATTCCAGGGATACTGTGCCAGAACAGTTATGCCCACGCTAGGCCTGTGCTAAAGCAGCACATTGTCTCCAGGGGAATTGGTGGCTGGCCAAGCTGAGCAGCTGTGCATTTCAGGGCTGAGCTGACACAGTACCCCATGTCCTAGGGAAACAGAGCAGTGGTTGAGCCGAGATACCTTGCCCTGGCCTAACAACTTAGTACCCTGCTTCCCTGGAACTGGCCTTGTCCTAGAGTCTGAGTTGCTAAGATACCCTCTTCCTAGGGTGTGGAGTCATTGTTGTGCTGCTCCCTGACACCCAGGGCCCAAATGAAAGCTGTGCTCTGCCATGCCCGGGTATTTGCTGCCATTGCACCTGGCCTCACAAAGTCTTGGGATATAGCCAAGCCCCACCATCCTAGAGTCACTACTACATGGTGCCTCATTCCCTGGAACCTGAGCTGCCACTGAGGCCTATTGGCTCAGATCCCTGAATTCCAGCTGTTCCCTGCTCCCTAAGCCCAAACCTCTAGAGCACCCCTTCCTTCCCAGAGTGAGGCCAGTGCTATGGCCTATCCCCCAGTGTTAGAATCCCAGTTATGAGCCAGTCCACTGGGCCTGAGCTGCTAGCAGGTGCCTCAGATCCTCACTCTGTGGGCAACCTACATCCAACCTTGCCACAGAGAGCAAACCTGCACCCAATATCCAGGTGCCACAATAGGTTTGTGAGACCCTAAGCCTAGAACCCTGACCCTACAGCCACGCCAAGCATCTGTACCTGGAACCTAGTGCCTCTGCAGTTGCTTGTAGGCCACATCTTGATATCAAGAGGGATTCTCTTGGCTAATTCACTCCATTGTGAGGAAAATTAGAATAGGATAACTCTAAAAGTCCTTGATGCCAAGGATCTTAAGAACATATACCACCACTGCCAATGCCACACTTCTATAGCCTAGGACTCTGAGGCACCTGCAGTTATTGCTCATGTTAAATGCAGCTGAAGAAGCTACACAGAAAATATACCACTGCATCTATCCAAAAACAGAGTCACCACACACTTCCCAACTGGCACACTACAACCCAACTGCACGTGAAAGTCTTTATGAAAGCCACTCCAGAAAGTTTGGAAGTGACTGTTCTGCCAGATGTATGGATATCAACACGGAGACATAAGAAACATGAAAAAAAAAAAAAAAGGACATATGATTCCACCAAAGGAACATAATAACTCTTTGGTAATAGATCCCAGTGAAAAGGAAATCAATTAACTGCCAGAAAATAAATTCAAAATAATAATCTTAAGGAAATGCAATGAAATACAAGAAAATACAGATCAATGATTCAACAACATCAGAAAAACAATTCATGGTATGAATTAGAAACTCAACAAAAAGATAAAAATCATAAAAAAGAATCTAATAGAAATCTTGCAGTTGAGTAATTCAATGAAGTTTAAGAAATATAATACAGAACTACAACAGTAGACCTGATCAGGCAGAAAAATGACTCTACATTTAAAGATAAGTCATTTGAAATTACTCACGGGGAAAAAAAGAAATAAGATGAAAAAGAGTGAAGAAAGTCTACAACACTTAGGGGATACCATTAAGTAAACAAATGTTCATATGATTGGATTTTCAAAGGGAAAAGGGGAAAGACATAGAAAACCTATTTAATGAAATAATAGCTGAAAACTTCCCAAGTCTGGGGAGAGATATTAACAACCAGATCTAGGAAGCTCAAAAGTCCCCAAACAGATTCAACCCAAAAAAGTCCTCTTCAAGGTATATTACAGTCGAATTGTCAAAAGTTAAAGAGAGAATTCTAAAAACAGCAAGAGAAAAGTGTTAAGTCACATTTAAGGGAATCCCTATTAAACTGACAGATTTCTCTGCAGAAACTTTATAGGCCAGCAGACAATGGGATGATATATTCAGAGTGCCACAAGAAAAAGATTTTCAGCCAAGAATACTACACCCAGCAAAACTCTGCTTCAAAAATGAAGGATAAATTAAATCTTTCCCTGACAAGAAAAAGAGTAAGGGAGTCATCACCCCTAGACTGGCCCTACAAGAAATGCTCAAGGAAGTCCTATATCTGGAAAGAAAAAGATGATAATTACTATCATGAAAATACACAACAGTTTTTTATTTTTGAGACAGACTCTCACTCTGTTGCCAGGCTGGAGTGCAATGGCAGGATCTCGGCTCACTACAACCTCCACCTCCTGGGTTCAAGCAATTCTCCTCCCTCAGCCTCCTGAGTAGCTGGGAGAACAGGTGCACACCACCACGCCCAGGTAATTTTCGTATTTTTAGTAGAGACAGGTTTTACCATATTAGCCAGAATGGTGTCAATCTCTTGACCTCCTGTTCTGCCCACCTCCGCCTCCCAAAGTGCTGAGATTACAGGTGTAAGCCACCATGCCCAGCCCATAAAAGTATTAAACCCACTGGTAGAACAGATACACAAAGGAGAAAAACAAAAGAATCAAACCTTATCTCCACAGAAAACCACCAAGTCCTAATGATAAATAAGCGAGAAAGAAAGAAACAAAGAACATACAAAATGATCATAAAACAATTAACAAAACAGGAGTAAGTCCATACCTATCAATAACAACCTTGAATGTAAATAGATTAAATTCCCTCATTTAAATAGGTAGACTAATTGAATGTATTAAAAACAACAACAGGCCGGGCGCGGTGGCTCAAGCCTGTAATCCCAGCACTTTGGGAGGC